TATATATATATATATATATATATATATATAAATATTGACAAAATTAAACAACTTTGCCCTTTTTACATTTTAGCAAGAAATTATTAAGTTTAGGGTATTTAAAAAAAAAATCTCTCTGTGTACATATTAGTGTTGCGCCGATGGCATTTTTTGTCCCCGATATCCGATACCTGGCTGTACAGTATTGGCCGATATGACACCATACCGATACCATCTGTTTGAAATTGATGTGTATGTGTATATATGAAGAACTGCGTACTACTTGGATGTAAAATAATTGCCATCATGGCTTTGTCAGGCTGCTGCCTACCTTTGTGAAGCAGGAAAAAGACTAATACAAAGTGAATCCAGTAGAACTTTTTATTCCCTACCTGCAATGGCTCTCAAAATGGTATCGGTGCCCTATTTGTTGATGTCTTGTGTTTGAGTACTTTGTGTTTAAATCCTGACAGGGGGACCATGAAGAGTACAAATTATGAGGCTACAGCATTTTACCAGAAAGATGAAAAATAGATGATGGTTAAAATGTGATTTATTCAACTTTGACATGCTCTGTAGCGTCTGCAAGCCGCTGTGTCCTTGCTGACCTACCCCCAGCTAGAATTCCTCTTATTTTTAAGTCAGCTGAAGTTTCCTCACTGTTTTTCCTTCCTCTGTGTGTGCTTTGACTCACCCCTCCTAAGCCTGGCCGTCTATGACCCTCTTCTTAAAGCACATTTCTGGTTGACTAGTCACTTAGACCATTTAGCCCATGAAAGTGTATTGCAAAACATTCGGTGTTACAAAAAGGCATTTTTTTTAGCCCATCTGTCTTATCCAAGTTTTGATTTAGCTAAGAAAATCAAAGTCAAGCATGGCTAGCCCACTGCAATAAAAAACTTCTGAGCATGTTACCACGAAGTCACACAAGGAAGCAGGTTTGTTTCAAGTAAACTCAGTAGTTAGGAGTATAAATATCAAACATTATCATATATAAACTCTCAAAATCGTAGCATAGAGTTTGCAAAAAGCACAAAAAATATCTATTTCCTTATTCTAGCATTTAGCAAATAGAAACAGTTTTGCTCTAATTTGACAGATCTAAAAGAGGAAGTTTTTCAGCTGATTTATTGTAAGAGATTGTGAGAAAAAGGCAGTGTTTTCTTGTATACAGACATTTATATTTATCTATAGCCATCTTCAGCTGTAGATCTCACTCTCTGTGAAATCACCTAGATGACCCCCTTAAAAAAAAAAAAAAGGTAATCTGAAAGCTGTTATAAAGGATTTCAGCCGCCAAACTGCTTTTAACTTTTTATCTTTCAAAAAAAGTCCAGCTGTTTATTTCTCTGCATTTTGCTGAATAAATTCAGCTTCATAATAAATAAAAACTCCAGCAGACATGCTTTTAAATTAATAACTCTAATAACATAAATATATAACATTCCTCACATGACAACCTAGAGACAAACCAGACAAAATAATAAAGAAACCATGAAGTACCCACATCAGGATCTGTGATGCTGCGAGCCAATCATTGCGCAAAAGAAGGAAACCTTGTAGTTTTTACTGCATCATGAACTTTTTGAAGACGGCCATTTTACATAAAATATTCCTGATGCTTCCAAAAAGGTCAGAATAGGGCACTACTGAACCCTTCAGAAGGCTAATGACCCAAAATCACCACAGAAATCTGCTTTTATTTTCATTAAACCACCCACATTTAAACAAGCACACACAAAGACAAAGAAGCATACCTGTTGTATCATCTTGGAGACCATAAACGCACTCTGTTGATCGAACACCTTAGAGAGGATCTCCAGGCCAGACAGAACCTTATCTACCTCTCTGATGAGGAAAAAAAAGGAAATTTTCAGCTTGTATTTGAAATATAGCCCCTGTCTTTACTCTGCCATTTCTGAAGGAAAACATCTGATTAAAAGCTCTTCGGTTGTAGAACAAGCTGATGGCGAACAAGCATGAGATGTACTCATTTCTGGTCCTTGTATCTGTAGAATAAGTGTATCTGTAGCTCACCCATTGAGACGTTTACAGGAGGCAACAAGTGTTTTGTTGAGATGAGGCAGGGAGGACGCTCCCTGTTTGACGGCCTCGAGATCCAATGCATAGCTGCCCTTCAGGTACTCGTGGGAAATGGTGCTGAGACCGTTAGCTGCAGGAGTGCTAAAGCAAAACAGTTCAAATCAAATGGTTAGAGTGAAAACAAACCCATGTATGTTCCTGTTACATCGCACATATATTCTCCTTAGCTTTCTACTCCTGTTGCTCACTTTATAACTAATGTATAAGATAAAAACCTTAAGTGAATATTCATGGGCAGATAAATTAATTACCTTTGAAACTTAATATGGATTAATTCACAACCAGCAAAAGTTAACGTTCTATATTAAAGATTTTAACAACACAAAACAGTCTGTAAATTATTAGATCCACCTTTAGCTGCACTTACTAATACTACTAATCTTTTCTTGTCATTGAAGTTGAGCACACAGCCAAAGAAATGTTTCTTCTGCATTTAAGGCCTCCCTTAGGGAGCAGTGGTCTGCCGCTGGGCAGAGGCCAGGGAGCATTCAGGGTTAAGGAGCTCTGCTCAGGCACCCACAATGAAAGTCTGTGGGATTCAAACCAGGGGATACAGCCCTCCTAAGAAGCAAGCGTCCTTCTCTAACCACTAGGCCACCATATAAATCAGGAGACCCAAAACGCAGTTCCCCGACAGCAACAAATTATGGGGCAGAGATTTCCACATTAGAAACCAGAGCCTCGCTCAGGATGAACCGCCTTATTGGTCGTACAAGAAAAGTTCAAATGAATTTCCAAGGTTTTGAACTTTAACTGGGTCGTTTTTATTGGTAAGATCTTCAAGAAAATCCAAGCATCCTTTCCCTTTTTCCTCAAACCTTTGTACTACTTTGTTAGGGATTTAGAACCTCACACTTCCTATAAGCTCTTATGATCGACAATGAAACTCAGACAACAAAAACAGGAAAGTAAAAAAAGATTAAAACATTTTCTCAGAAAAAAATCCTGTATGCAATCTGTGCAAAATATGAATTTAATAGTTCTGTTTTAGTTTAGCAATCATCTCATTCTGAATTGAACATATAAATCCCACTAGAGGGCAATTTTTTACATGTTTAAATTGACAAACTGCCAATAGCAGAACTATTGGTAGTAAAACCTAAAGAAGCACAGGTGTTCTTATCCTTTAAAGTACTTTGAAGGAGCAAAATCCAATGATTTTTATAAATAGAACAAAACACAGATATTGTTCTTCCACTTCCTCTAAACTTTAACTTCTTTTTCAACCCAGTGATTCATAAAATACAAAAGAAAAGATGAGTCATAAGCAAATACAGCTAATTTCAAGGGCTTCTTTCCGTGATAAAACGAGAACCTGCCGTGTGAAACTCCTCGCTTGTCTGCGTTCGACAAATATCCGAAATGCTGAGTAGAAACTCTGAACCTGTTGCTTGGAAATGTACAAAGCCTCCTGTCACAGAACCACTAACTCTTCATCAAAACCCTGCATCATCATCTTCATCATCGAGGAATGCGGTTTCCAGCAGGATGTGGTTTACCTTCTTTGCGAAGGCAGATGGGAGACATGTGTTGTAGGGTGGAGGGTGGGAGGAAGAGTCGATGTCTGATCGTAAAACTGAATCTGACACTGAACTCGTTATGATCTGAAATATTCTGTGCAGGGCGAGTGTGAGAGAGGGACACACAAAGTGCATTTGTGTTCCAGTAACATCTGCTTATCGAAAAGCAAAGACCTCTGAGTGCATTCGAAACATGGAGATTATCCATAGATTATCTACCTTTCCGTAGGCGTTTCAGGTCCGGGGGGAGTGGAGGTGGAGGCAGAGCGAGGGGGGAGCGGCGGCTTTTCATCCTCTCCATCTATCAGTTACAGAAAATTAGGTTTCATTTCACAGAAATCACACACAATTCTTAATTAACATTTTAATTAATTTTAAAATTTACTTTTTTATTATTTTTAATGTTTCTGATTATAATTACACCCGTTAATGTGTTCATTGGGATTTCATGTGATAGACCAACACAAAATAGTTCATCCTTGTGAAAAGAAGAGAAGCTGGTAAATGGTTTTAAAAAGTATTACTGCTTCAAATTAGAAACACTTTGTTCCTATTTGCCTGCAACTGTAAATGGTCAAGATTCTCCAGTGGATTTAGAGCAAGACTTTGACTAGGCCACTCCAGCACACAAAGCCAAGAAAAACTAGAGTCCTTAAATTTTTCTTTGGTCCAACACACCTGAATCAAACTACAAAAAGCTTGACAACAGACTAAAAAACTAACCCAGCTATTCAGATCAGCTGTGTTCCAGCATCGACCAATTGGAGCTGGAGAACCCAACTTTAGCTTCAGCTAGACTTCCTCTACTGCTTCATGTTCCACTCTACCCATCTTCCTCTAAACTCTGAGCAGCTTCCCTCTTCCTGCTGAAGAAAAGCTCACATCATGATTTTTCCAGACAGTTGTGGATTTTATCTTTTTCCTCAAGTTGCAAATTGCAGGTAGAATAAATTAATCGGTTGTGTGTAATCGCAATTTTTAAGTAAAAGTTACGATTTTAGAGTGAACCACTCATAATTGGCCAGTCGACATCTGAGTCATGGGTCTCTGCACTTCCTCCAGAGCTACCTTTGGCCCTTTTAGCAGCAAATAAAAGCATAATAATAGACAAATGACATGGGTGGTGCTAAGTTTCATTTAGGTGGGTATGAGACTTAAAACTAAGATCTAAGCCGCACTTAATATTTTTCAAAAAGGTAAAAAATATTTGAAAATCCGAGCACATTTTCCCCTCAGCCTCCCTATTCTACACCCTTCTATGCTGGTCTGTTAAATGAAACCCCGATAACGTTCATTAACATTTGTGGTGGGAATATGTGAAAGAATGGGAACAGATAAGTGGTAAAGGTGCTGCAAGGAACGCTGATCGTCTTGGCTTGCAGCCTACCTGAATAGTCCCTGTCGTCTGTGACGGCAGTTTCCTCCCTCTCCACGGCGTACAGCAGGGTTGTGACCAGGCCCTGGTTGGGCTGCAGGTACAGAGACACCAGCTCCGGTAGTGTCTTAAACCGCTTCGGCTGAACGCCCTGGGACGTCTGAGAGGAGAGAGGTAACGTGTCATTTCCTGAAGGGAATGATTTCCATGAAAACATCCAACACTCTTCAGCTACAGGTGGTCAGGCTGCCAAATCTCTGCTGGCCTCCATTGTTCCATATTTAATGGTGTGTAAGCAAACGCAGCCAAGAGATCTAAATATAATTCAACCCAGGAAGAATCGTTTTGATAAACACTCGGAAGGGAAACTGGATGCTAAGAGGCAAAGATTTTCTCTATAACCAGTGATTAAAAGAAAAACAAAAACTAAAATAGGGGAAAAGAAAGAGATCTGTCATGGATTGAAGCAGCATGCTGTCGTGTGCATGTCTGTCTGTAAGTGAGGCCTGTAAGTGGAGGGGGTGTTTCACAGCTGTCGGCCACAAGTTACAAAGCGCCTGCTGTCTGTGTTTGTGCTGTATTTGTGTAAGAGAGAGCTAGGAGCCAACGCAAGCATCTTTCCATCTGCCAGCTGTTGCCAAAGCACCACAGAGAGGTGTGTGCGCCATTTCTGTACCTGCACGGCCAGAAAACCCTCATCATCTGGAAGGATTCTGTAGGTGTGGACGTGCTTCTGAAACCTGCAGGGACAGACAGACGGAGAGATTAAACGCAGCACGGCCGCAGGCGGACAGACGGACAAACAGAACAAAGAAGAAAGGAAGCAAGAGGATATTCATTTTTGTTTCAGTCAAGGAAAACATAACATACACTCATGTGTTTGACCTCAGTCGACAGGCCTGTCTGTGCGTGTGTGTGTGTGTGTGTGTGTGTGTGTGTTTGCGTGTGTGTGTGTTTGGGGGGGCAGACACTGCAGAGCTTCAACCTGCTGCTGTCTGTCAGTTGTGACTGCTTGCTTTATCCTTACTGTAGCACATGATACAGTAAAACACAACCCCAGAGGTTAATCACTGAACCGTTAAAGGGACGGCAGAAGAGATTTAAAGTGACTACATTTGCTCAAAGGTTTGGATTTAAGGTGTTTTTGGCTTAAAACAACAAGTCTGACCACTCGACCAACGACAGAGATCAATGCTCTGATATTACAATGTGCCCGCACCCCCGAGCTGGAGAGTAATGATTTACATGTCTGCAGCTCGGGTCTGCTCAGTCGACCAGACACAAATGTCCAATTTGCCAGGCAAACGCTGTGGTCTCTGTCGGTTGGTGCAAATATATAAAAGTGCATTTTCACAATTTCAGGCCTCATCCTGGCACTTTATGCAAAAATGCTTGTGTGATCCTCTTAGATTCCTGTCAAAGCTGTCCCTATTTACTCATAACTGTGAACATTATTCAGCAATACAATGTTTTCCTTGTTTTGTTTTTCAGGTGACAGGAACTAAAATTAGGACTTGGATAAAAGAGAGATCCAGTTAGCTCACAGCTTCAGTAATCTTGGTGTCATGATGGACTCAGACCTGAACATTCAGAGGCACATAAAGGCAGTTACTGTCAGCCTTTCATCACCTGAAGAACATTTCCAGGATTAAAGGACTAATGTCCAAGCAGGATATAGAAAAACTCATTCATGCATGTATCTCTAGTAGAATTGATCACTGCAACAGTGTCTTCATAATTTTGCCAAAGAAGTTTATCAGAAAGCTGCAGCTGATCCAAAACACTGCTGCCCGTGTTCTCCTTAGAACTAAGAAAGTAGAGCAATCGGCCCAGTTCTGAAATCCTAACACTGGCTTCCTGTAGCTCAGGAAATAGACGTTTATAAATCACTGCATGGATCAGCACCATACATGGCTGGTTATACTCCCTGCAGCAGTGAGCTTGTTGCAGATATTTTTGATTTATGCCCAATATTGAAGCGTGATCTGTGCTATGTTATTCCACGCAAGAGGGACAATTGCGATCTAGCTGTGGGTCTAGATGCGTCTGCCGCTATGAGGAAGTAGTAAAACGCAAGGGGCAAGTTTGTGCGACAACAGAGGGACATGAAGACGAAAAAGAGCAGGGATCCAGGTGGAAAAAGGGTCCCAGCGTTCTCGTGCACCTCCCTCTTCTAGCTGGTTCATCTTCACAGGTCGTTTTCCGCAATGGTGGTCATACAAACAAAACAAGCCTGTAAGGTACCAAACAGAAATTATGCATAGTGTAGAGCAGATGTAGATTTCTCCAATTAGAGGCCTCCTGTCTGCGGCCACCTTCAATTTTGGAGAGGTGCAGCTGCGAAAGGGGCGGGAGCACATTTGCGCTCACTGCGACACACACAGACGACCTGGTTTCTGAGTTAAAACCAGCCTTTATACATGACCACTCAGGTCTTCTAGTTCCAGCCTACTCTGCCCACCCAGGACTAGAACCAAGCATGAAGAAGAAGCATTTAGTTCCTATTATCCACTAATCTGGAACAAACTCCCAGAAGAATCTAAAAGTTCTGCAAACCTGAATTCCTTTAAGTCAAAGTTAAAAACCCATTTTTGTTTAGAACTTCCTTTGACTATCAAAGTTAAACTGTTTGCTTTACAAACTGATTCTGCTTTTTTTTCTCCTTCTATTTTAGACTTTAATTCACGTAGGGCACTTTGAATTGTCTTTGTACTAAATTATGCTATAAATTTTGTTTTGTATACACTGTGTAAACAAAAAGACAATAAATTTGTCTGAGCCAAATAAACCTGCCTTGCCTTGTGATGCTCCGAATGGTGGAAAGCTGGTAAGAGAATCTCAAGATATGATTACCTGGTTAAGATAATTCCCTGTTTCACTAATTCAACAAAACAATTTTTTCTATTTACAGCTATGCATATTAAGAATATGTAACACTAACCCTTTAAAAAACTTAAAACATTTTAAAAAGTTTTATTTATTTGTCATCTGCTGCTCCATCTGACAATCACCACCTGTTTAGGACAAAGGTCAAGCAACGCAGTGCGACATAAATTATATTCTGACAATTGTTGACTCTAGGAAAGAAAATCCATTTCTATTGCCGTCGATGCTGATAAACAAACAAAATAAACTTTTTTGAATAGCTCTGACCAAACTAGCAGATAAATGTAGGGCTGAGTGATATGGCTGAAAACATCTATTATGTTATAAGAACAATAACAACTGATATCAGTGGAAAACTATTTTTTAACCCATTTTAAAAAATGACAAGGAGACATAAAGTTGAATTGAAATTGTAACCCTAAACTTTTTGAAACGTAACTTTTGAAAAAAGGTAATCGCTTCTATGAACCATGTTTAGCTTGGCAGTAAAATTATAGATGTAATGAGTCAGCCATAAATGGACAACAAAATGTATTCTTGTGTTCATTTCATGCATAAAAAAAAAATAAAATAAATAAAAACTTAAAATGCATTGACAAACGGCAACATTTCCTTTTCCAGTTTTAAATCGTGGGCGACCTAAACAGCCCAGTCAGTTTTCTGTTTGGTTACAAAACTACTACCTGCTTGTCCTTTTATGGTCACTGGTCGGTCAATTGATTACACCACAGGGAACAGATATTATATGTAAAAGTGCTTAGAAGATAAAAATAGAAGTTTAGCAAAATAAAAAATCCGCTGATCTGAACTTTGATGGTAAAAGTCAACTGGTGCAATTTTGCAGAAAACTGTGACTGTCCCAGTTATATATTTATTTTTATATTCTGCACTAAAAAAAAGGACTTTTACGAGCATGTCTAAATTAAGATGACCCATATGTGAATAATTAAATGCAAACAGCACCAAGAAATTAAAGATCCTATAAACATTTTTTACAACTTTTTAGAATAGATCAAAGAAGCAACGTTCAAGCTTGTTTTCTCTCTGAGCTTCAGACTTTTCCTTAACCTACAGCAGAGCTGCACCAGAGGCTCTATTAAGTCAGTGGTTAACAGTTAGAGTAGTAGTGCAGCTTTAAACTGAGGTTAGACGGACATGATGTGGAACTTGGACCAGAAGTTCCCTTGTTGAACTGATTTTATACACAGCAGCAGGTTTTTTTTGGCACACTAATGCCAACAGTACTTCCATGTATGAGCTCAGAGTAGCACTGTCAACAAGATAAATATTGGCGATGCATTCAAGAGCACAATGCACTGGAGGTCCCCTGGCAGCGAATCCACATGCAGGCGTCACACAGCTGTATACAGTGGGGTTTGTGTGTTTTTTCCTGCTGCTGATGAGATCCTCTGCAGCTCTGTGGATTAAATGCTATTGTTTCTGTGGCTGCAGAGTTAACAGGGGGAGGGAGACGGAGAAGCAAGGTTTATTATGAGATAGACAGTAAACTATAGGAGTTTACTGTGTGGCTGCTGTCAACAATAGTTTGTGTCATTGGCTACGATGGTCCTACTGGGTGCGTCTGGTACCCATCCTCTACTGAAGAGAAAATTCTTCTGTTTTTTGTTTATCTTCTATTTAATCATAAAATCAGAGTTTTTAAAACTAACATAGAAAACGCAGTATAAAACGGCAGTCCAACTTTATTAAGTGATTAACAACCAGACCTTGTGAGACAAAAGTACTTAATTTTGAATAAACACATTAAACAGTGACGACCTTAAGTAAGCAAAGAGATCTCAAAAATAAAACCCCAACCTTAAAGGGAAACGACGTTTTTTGTTTTGTTTTTTTACATTGGACCTTGATTTTACATTATTACATCATGTTCTACTCACTCATATGAGTTTTGTGTCATTTGGAGCCGTTCTGAAGATATTCCGTAACCGCAGTTGTCTGGGGGACAATGATTCGCCTACATGTTATGAATGCTGGCGTACCAGAACTGATAAATTATGAACAGTTTAGTTTAAGCCTTCAACTAGTTGCCCATAGAAGGTCGTTACTTGGATAACCTAACGGAATATCTTCAGAACAGCTCCAAATGACACAAAACTCATATGGGTGAGTAGAACATGATGTAATAATGTAAAATCAAGGGTCCAATGTAAAAAAACAAACAAAAAACTGCGTTTTCCTTTAAGGAGGTCTAGGGCTGCAACTAACAAATATTTTGCAAATCGATTAATGTGTTATCTATTTTTTAGATTAATAGAATAATAATTGAATAGTCAAAGGTTCCTTAAAGAAGATTTTTTTTAAACTTAAAATAGGTGAAACTAAAATTTTTCCACTTGAAGAGTTCTGGATAGGGCATATTGACAGACAAAAAAATATTTCATCTTAAATTCAAAATGTTTATATAATTGTTTACAATTTTGATATAATACTCTGTAAGTTAAAAGCATGTTTTACAGTCTCTATACTCCAGTTAACGATTAATTGATTACTACATTAGTTGAGGATTATTTCAATAATCGATTAATCAGGATTAATCCGATTAACTGTTTCAGGAGGTCACGACTTCCATCAGATTTGAGAGGGTTACAACACAAATTCTAAGAAAATGACTCATCAAGGTGACATCGAACAGGAACAACATGTAAATGACTCCTTAAAAACCAGTGTTCATAAGGCAAGAATTAGACTGGTAAAAAATCTGATTCATGGGAGCATTTGGTCTATAGGCCAAAACACAAAGGTTCCATGTCTAATAAATTAGCCATGAAAACAACTCAATGATCCTCAAAGAATTACAGTAAAATAGGAAGGTCTGTTTCCCATCATATCTGGC